AGGGGGGCGGTGGGGTAAAGAGCCCTGACATAGCACACTTCATCTGACTGGCAAAGGGGTTGTGGGGCAAAGAGCCCTGACATAGCAGACTTCATCTGACTGGCAAAGGGGTGGTGGGGCAAAGAGCCCTGGCATAGCAGACTTCATCTGCCTGGCAAAGGTGGGCAGTGGGGCAAAGAGCCCTGACATAGCAGACTTCATCTGACTGGCAAAGGGGTGGTGGGGCAAAGAGCCCTGACATAGCAGACTTCATCTGACTGGCAAAGGGGTGGTGGGGCAAAGAGCCCTGACATAGCAGACTTCATCTGACTGGCAAAGGGGGGCGGTGGGGTAAAGAGCCCTGACATAGCACACTTCATCTGACTGGCAAAGGGGTTGTGGGGCAAAGAGCCCTGACATAGCAGACTTCATCTGACTGGCAAAGGGGTGGTGGGGCAAAGAGCCCTGACATAGCAGACTTCATCTGACTGGCAAAGGGGGGCGGTGGGGTAAAGAGCCCTGACATAGCACACTTCATCTGACTGGCAAAGGGGTTGTGGGGCAAAGAGCCCTGACATAGCAGACTTCATCTGACTGGCAAAGGGGTGGTGGGGCAAAGAGCCCTGACATAGCAGACTTCATCTGACTGGCAAAGGGGGGCGGTGGGGTAAAGAGCCCTGACATAGCACACTTCATCTGACTGGCAAAGGGGTTGTGGGGCAAAGAGCCCTGACATAGCAGACTTCATCTGACTGGCAAAGGGGTGGTGGGGCAAAGAGCCCTGACATAGCAGACTTCATCTGACTGGCAAAGGGGGGCGGTGGGGCAAAGAGCCCTGACATAGCACATTTCATCTGACTGGCAAAGGGGTTGTGTGGCAAAGAGCCCTGACATAGCAGACTTCATCTGACTGGCAAAGGGGGTGGTGGGGCAAAGAGCCCTGACATAGCAGACTCTATCTGCGTGGCAAAGGGGGGCAGTGGGGCAAAGGGGGTGAAGAGCCCCTGTGTTAGCAGATACTATACCAGGTACTACAGCTTACTTTCATAGTTTTGACGAGTTGGTGGGGAGATAACATCCAAGACATCGATGGAAGCAGCTTCCGTAGCAACAGAATTAGCCTGTAGTGGGATTGTACCGATAAAAATTTTACAGCTCAGCTGGACAGTCTTCCAGCCCACAGGCACTTCCACCTGAAATTAAAATCATCAATTTTAAATGCCAAGTTGGGTTGAATGACAGTTAGAAGATGACACACCTGCTTACATGATTTCATGACTTCAGTGAAGTTTATATGCATCACATAATATACTTTGTCATGACAGACTTATATGAATACCATGTGCAAATTCAGTGACATTTAAGAGTGGTTTAAATTTCAAGATAATGACAGACAGTCTTATATGAATGCTATATGCCATATCATGACAGTCAGACTTAAATGAATGTCAAATAATGTCCCCTGACAGAATTATAAAGACCTCATACATTATGTCAATGATGTGATAGACAGACTTACATACACCTCAAACATTATGAATGTTGAATATCTGATGGACAGACTTACATACACCTCAAACATTATGAATGTTGAATATCTGATGGACAGACTTACATACACCTCAAACATTATTTAACAAAGGTATGACTAGACAGGCCTCTTTTAAAGCTACTCATTCTGACACTAGCGATAGGTCTAAATTTATCTTAACTTTTCATCCCCCCACAACCTAAAAGCTCGCTCTCTGGTGCTGAAAAACCGCTCAATTCTTATGGCGGACCCTGTCACAAATGAGATTTTTAGAAAACCTCCTCTTTTCGCTTTCCGGCGGGACAAGAGCCTTAGGGACATGCTAGTTAGAAGCCACCTCCCTGCTATTAAAGCACATAAAGGCACAAAAAGTTGCAACAGTAGCCGTTGTAACTCATGTCCCTACGTGATCGAAACTGATACGATCACTTTCCCTCTGGGAGTATTCAGAATAAAAGATGGCTTTACCTGCACAAGTCGCAACGTGATTTAATTTACACCATTATTTGCAAAAAGTGCGGTAAACTATACATAGGAGAGACAGGTCGTCGCCTTGGGGACCGGTTCAGAGAGCACCTCTATAACATAAATAAACACGCTCTCTGTCCGGTCTCCAAACATTTCAATAGCCCTAACCATAATGGTATCTCAGATATTGTAGTTACTGGTATACTCTATACAAGTAACACTGCAGATAGAATCTATATGGAGAACAAATTAATAACTAGATTTGGTACGTTGTCTCCATATGGATTGAACCAAATCCATAGTTTTACTTAGCTGCCATGTCTTTTTCCTGTTTGGTTTTTCCAATTATGTTAAAATCACTTCCTTTCTACTCCTCTTTACTTTGTTTGTGTCTGGTTTTAGCGCCCTCTCCTATATTTTTTTTCTGTTTTAGGTAGGATATGTATATTGACATTATGTAAATTTAATTTATACTTATTTAAAGGTGTTTTGTTTGTTTGTACTGATGAAGGCATGTGCCGAAACGTTTAATTGTCTATAATGTATAATTATTATTAAAGTTAACTCATAATGTTCTATTGACACAATTTGTTCGTGTCTTATTAATCTATTTTAAAGCTTTATCGCAGTCCAACACTTTTTATAATTAGTTTACTCAAACATTATGAATGTTGAATATCTGATGGACAGACTTACATACACCTCAAACATTATGAATGTTGAATATCTGATGGACAGACTTTCATACACCTCATACATTATGAATGTTGAATATCTGATGGACAGACTTACATACACCTCATACATTATGTCAATGATGTTGCAGCCCTCCAGTAATGAGGGGGCCACAGCTGGGATGGTGCAGCAGCTGTTGTAGCGATGGGCTTTGCCAGCCCCCACCTCATCGTCTGTCTCAAACAGGACCCAGTTGTTGACCTTGTCGTGGTGCTTGGGGTTCCCCGATGAAAATAAGCTGTCACTGAACCCGGTGTAGCGGACGGTCTGTTGAGGGAATTTACTTTATCTGTTAAGTGGGAGTTCTTTATTTATTGACATAGTTTACCGGCATTGTGAATGACTCATTGTCCGGGCAGGATTAGAAAATAAGCAAATAGGAAAACAACATTCGGCATTTGAGTGAGATGAAAAGTGGCAACTTATTATTTGCATTTGGATGGAAGAAGTTGTTTTTAATTTCTTGATAACCCGCCATCTTTTTTTGTTCTTCCAATGTTAAATTTCACTACATGTATTTACAGTAAAAACTTATTGACTGACCTTAATTTTAATGTTATAGTAAAACAAAGCAACTGGCCTAATGTTGATATTACATTAAAAACTTTTGAGTACCCTAAAGGTAATGTTAATTCAACTGCATGTATTTACTGTAAAGCTAATTGACTGACTTCATGTTGATTTAAATGAGTGACAGCCATGATGCAAATAATTTACTATAAAATATCATGGTTCACTTGTATCTCTTTTCCAGCTTCATGTGTCTAATCTTCTTTGAGGGGACAAAGTGAGCAAGGCTCCAACCCCCCCTCCCCACCCTCCACCCCCCCACCCCCACATCCTCAATATCTGCCACTGTACCACATGGTATTATAGAACACATGGCTAACTTACAGATGAAATTTTTTTCAAATTATGTAGGCCAGTCATAAATGATTATGGCACATCTTAGATCTCACTTATATTTAATTGTTTTCATAAAATTAATTTTTCCTTGCAGTTTTTGGCTACAAAAATATTTTGCAGAGCCCTATTTGTTGTCATGAACAAGGAAGTATCTCTAGTTCTTATTCTACCAGGTAAGAGAGTGAGGCTGAAAATACAACTGATATTTTTTAAATCGACCTATTCCTGGGATCTAGTCATATGGAATGTTTTATATTTGAGAAAATCTAATGTCTTTGGTCTTTGTTTTGGTCCTTCTCTCCCTATCCTGAAGACTGTACTGATGACAATAATGACAAGTTTCCTGCATATGCTGGAGATAAATATTATAGACCACATGGTATCACAGACCATATTGTATCATTAGACCACATGGTATATAGACATGTGGTATCATAGACAACATAGTGTCACAGACCACATGGTAGCATCGACCACATGGTATCATAGACCACATAATATCAAAGACCACATGGTATCATAAACCACATAATATCAAAGACCACATGGTATCATAGACCACATGGTATCAAAGACAACATGGTATTATAAACCACATGGTATCACAGACCACATGGTATCATAGACCACATGGTATCATAGACCACATGGAATTTATAGACCACATAGTATTTAAGACCACATGGTATCAAAGACCGAATAGTATAAAAGACCACATGGTATTAAAGACCACATAGTATTAAGGACCACATAGTATTAAAGACCACATGGTATCAAAGACCCTATGATATCAAAGACCACATGGCATCAAAGACCTCATGGTATCAAAGGCCACATAGTATTAAAGACCACATGGTATCAAAGACCACATAGTATCAAAGACCACATGGTATCAAAGACCTCATAGTATCAAAGGCCACATAGTATTAAAGACCACATGGTATCAAAGACCACATAGTATCAAAGATGTAGGGGAAAAATTTTTTTACCTGGATCAATTGCATGACCACACCACAAATGGAAGATGTGGCTTTGTTGTTGACCACAATATCATAGTACATCGGTTCTCCCGGGACAAAGCCACTTTTTTCAAGGCGTAGGTGTGTGTAAACATTCCCAGCATCACAGCAGCAACCCTCGTACATCTGCTCTCTTTCCAGGTACTGAGGCATCTGCAGGTAGAAATGGCATTGACTAAACTTAGAATTTGAACCAAAGCAACAACAAAAATTTGACAGGTTATAGTTTGGTGAATGAACTCTTATAAAATGTATCCAAGATCCACTTAATTTCTACTTCATTATGCGATTGGTACAGTAAACAAATAGACCAGTGAACTTACTGATGCACCTGGTACAGTAGATAAATCTAAATGTCGGATGACGGTCAAGTCCTGCTCCATCTGCAGCACCCCTTTCCAGCCTCTGTCCATTGTCACGATGCACATATACCGGACATATCCTCGACGGCCCTCAAAGGATGATGGTACATCAGGAGGCAGAGTAAAATCAAAAGGATAAACATGCATGCCTGGCGGCTGACTGTCATTCAGATCTTTAGAAACAAAAAATAATCATACCAACACATGGTCAGTTGTGGTATAATTTAAAATACCTTTTTTTTTTCAGAGTGACATACGAATTCAAATTTAATCATCTAAAATGGGAAGTCTACAGCACAACTCATTGTCCTTTGTGGGATAATTAAAAGACAAAATTTTATTCAATTGTGGCTTATATTTATAAATTAAAATGGAAAGTCTATAAAAAAACAAATAATTGTCAAATGATCCTTCAAAATGTTCACATATAAACCTATAATGCATTCAAATTTATGGTTAACATTTTTAAAACAAAAATAATAACTAATCATTATGTGCAACAATATTTGGGTCTTTGGAACGATTTTAGACCTTGTTTTTTTTTAGAAATTGTTTTACTTAAACCATTTTTATTCAAAATGTTTCTTTTTTAAAAATCACATGTCTTTATCAAACAAAACAATTTGACACACCTCTGCATCTGAACAGATGATATTCACTGTCTATGTAGATCTCGTGGGCCTGATAATGCTTGGACGAGTCCCCGTTAGAAACATCCCACTTGGACTTAGCTCTCCCGGTAAACTTTATGTCAATGGCTGATCAAGAAAGCAAAAAAACAAAAAAATTTACATTTGTTCAGTCATACATGCTGCAAACGAAATCAGATAATGCAATGATTAACACACTTTAAAAAAAATAATTAAAGAGGGCTTTTCCCCAATCTCTATTAAATTCAATATGAAAAATACTGATACGGATATTTTTTTTCTATTTAACTTTTTAAATAAAACTGACGTGTGAAAATTTGTATGGGAGGAACAAAAACGACCCCCCCCCCCCTTCCATTCCAGCAACAACAGAAATCTTCAGGCTCCACAAAGTCACAATCTGTCATTCAATCATTAATTATTAGGATATTTTTTTTCTATTTAACTTTTTAAATAAAACTGACGGGTGAAAATTTGTATGGGAGGAACAAAAACGACCCCCCCCCCTTCCATTCCAGCAACAACAGAAATCTTCAGGCTCCACAAAGTCACAATCTGTCATTCAATCATTAATTATTTTTTTTAATCAAATAAAACCGAAGCTTAACTCACAATTGATCCATGCTGCCTTTGCAAGCTTGACCACGACACTCCCACTGACCACTTGACCTGCTATGTATATGGAATTAGATCTGCTGAAATGAAGCTCAAACAGTTCAATTCTCATTTTCACGTGTCAAGATAAATACCTGTGAAAGAAAGGTTGATTTATATTTTCAACTTTTGTCTTTAAAGATAATAATGATGAACATTGGGCACAAGATTATTTTTTTTTTTTTTAAATACATGAGTGCAGAATGAGCTTGTTACATGTCTGCAGGATGTTAGAATAACAAATAGCAAGGACATGAGTGGGGGGGGGNGGGGGGGGGGGGGGGGGGGGGGTTTGCATTGAATAAATCAAATGGATGATGAATTTGATCTAGTCCAGATAGGATTAAAGGACAAAAAAGACCCCAAAATTTTTTTTCAAAATTAACCCTTTACGGGGCAGAGGTACTTCTTCTTGCATGTCCTGAACGGGCACCACTTTCCGTTTTTTAGTAAAATTTAGGGTTACATTACAAAAAAAATCAAATCTAAGGTGTTAGTCAACAAATTTGTGTGAAATAAAAATCAAAATAAAGTAAAATGAATGAAGATTTATTATTGTACTCAAATGTTGACATTAATCCTTATACGAACATAAATATTTGCAAAAACAACATATTGTTTGTGATTGTGAGTCATCTATTTGCTATTTACAAACTATTTCGAAGTTTGTAAAATTCAACACTGCTTACTACGCTAATTTCCCTAATATTACTAATAATGTAAACATCTAGTTCCAATTTACAGTCAATTCGTGCACTTAAATGTCACTTTAATTGAATCCAGCGAAATCTCCGCTATCACTTGAATAATCGGCAAAATCCATTTCGAAAAAAAAAAATTTTAAACCCCTAAAACTAAAAAAAAAAAAACGATAAATACTTGTAACTGGCGCCTACTCTATTTAGCTATCGGAAAAACCAGATGTAAACAATAAGAAGTCTCGCAAAGCCTCGGAGGTCACGAGAAAACAACACTAAGTCGTCACGGACGCTTTGGGCGTTTTGCCCTTTAAGTGGTAAAGACTTTTCGCCCGCTCTGCCCCGTAAAGGGTTAAAGAACAATGATTTGTGTTTGAGTGATCTCCCCCTTCTATGGCCCTATCATTTTGTCAAATGAAAAAAAAAGTAGTCTTCACGGGTCCCAAACAAAACCAAAAAAAATCACTCAATAGATGAGAATTGTGCATAAAACAAGGTGACTGGACCTAACACAGAATGACTGGACATGGCACAGGATGACGGGACATAAAACAAATACCTGGACATAACAAAAGCATGCATTATTTCCCCAGCCCCAGTCAATCACTACAGATATGTACAGACACCTTCTTTGCCTTTTCAACTCCCAGGGGTGCATAGGCCATCAACAATAACTCTCAATGCCTTCCTGTCATGTCACTTGCAACCTTCTCCAACTCTCTTTGATCTAAAAGCATATCCTTGCCTATCCTCTAAGCCAGATGTTTTTGGGTCTCCCCACTCTACTTGATCCCTGTATGTTTCATATTGGCGCTTGCTTTAAGATATGTAAGTGCTCAAAAATGTATCCCTTTATTAAGAAAAATATTTATCTCAAGCATATACACGAAACGTGTCATTACTGTCATCAGTACAGTCTTCAGGATAGGGAGAGAAGGACCAAAACAAAGACCAAAGACATTAGATTTTCTCAAATATAAAACA